TACTAAATGGCTTTACAAACCTGGCTAAAGCAAATGTCATAAGATAGTATTTCGAATGGTCCGTCTAGAATTGACGCGGTCATTTGTTTCAAATATACTAATGATAACATCATACATCACATACTAATTATCTTCACTTGGTCACCGAGTTAGCACGCCCTTGCGGGCAGCGAGAAGCCTTTTTTGCAAGCTTGTCTATATCTAGTACAAACACAATAGTCATCAGGTTCATGAAATTCCTCAGCTTTGCATAGGCGATGGTAAAAGCCACGAACTGTGTATTGTGTCACTATATGCCCGTTAAGCTGATCAGGTCCTTTCTAAATCTCGTCCATCATCGGCTCCGCTTAACAGACTTTGGCATCGACCTCCGCGAATTCCTAGCCTCAAATACTCAAAATTCTACACTCGTGAAATCATTCCAGACTAAGTTCACCCAGTAAGCAGTAACAGACGCAACTTTAAAATCGAAAAGTCGCAAAGCGGCCAAGAAGGACAACCTGCACGAGCTAAGCATTGAGAGCGAAGCTATCAAAGCCACTACTCCTTTTTTCGTAATATGCTGGGAGAAGTTTTAGCCGTAAGATCAGCAACGCTACGTAGGTAAATCGATTAACATATGTAAGATATATAACGCGTCACGAGTCGAAATTCTGGAACCTCGCCTGAATTTTATTGTCTCCTTTCTAGTAAGATTGATTGTCAATTCCAATTCCTAGACTGGAACATGCTGCACATGGAAACAGCTGCCCTTATCCATAACTAACCTGTTTGCGTAAACGAGAACCTTCTCTATATTTGCCAACTGGCGAATCTTGTCTAGCATATCCTTGAGTAAGGTCGAGATAGCTTAAGTTATCACCCTGAGATACACTTGTAATTTGGAGAAACGCTGGCAACTCCAGAACAACATCAGTCCCTTTCAACTCGAGTACCGCTGCTATTAATTTAAGCACGTTCGCAAAAATTCCAAAATCGCAAGCATGCTTAAGACTAAGTTCTTTGGATCGGAGTTAAAGGCAGCTTCAAAATCTACAAATACTTACATTGCAAAAAGTTCCTTGAGATCCGTTTTATATCATCAAATCGGATTTCCTATGCCGCTTCGGCTCAATGCTCCTTGTTAAATCCGTGTTACTCGTTGCATTTACACTTTCTCGGAACACATTTAGGCTTCCTGTTAGTAAATACGAGAGAAGCAAATAGCAAACGCTTTTCTTCGTGATTCCTAACCATGACGTTTAGCGATGATTGCGTTTGCCTTTTGACGCCATGACGAGATACATTGCATTCTACCAATAATGAAAAAGCAGCTCGAAACAAGGACATTCGTTGAACATAGCCATCCAGCACATAGCCAGCTCCACAGGGGTCCTGAAGAGTGCATCCCAAATCCTGTCCGGTTCCGCGGTTTTCATTGAGCATAAGCTCTCGAGCATCTGAATTCTTCTTCAGGACTAAAGGCTCCTGGTCTAGCCTTTTACTTACTTCAAATGCTGTTCGTTCGCCCCAGATTGCGCTAAGTGGAAAGACTCCTTGACGTACAATATCACTGGTAAGAATATTTTAGCGAAAGGAGCACTGATGAGGCGATAGGACAAAATGTAGGCCATTGATGGCCGAACCATTTGAAGGGCTGACGCTCGACTTCTTTTATGAGAATAGCCCTTCTGCTGTTTCTTCCGCTGGATAGCATATGTCTTCCTGCAGATTACTTTGAATACTGCACCCAGTAGCCTGGCTACCGGTTGTAGTGTTACCAGTAGCCTAAAGGCATCCTGGGCACAACGGGCGAATTGGGATTTGTAATCAAACATGGCTGTTGTCCCCTGGGATAGACTAAATAAACCGAAAACTTGGGATAGATTTTAACCTCAAGCGAGCTCGGCACTAGAAGGACTTCATGAGTTCTTTTCGGAAGCTTCTTCGGATCCGAGCTGCACAGTAAAGAATTATTCCTCCAGATGAAAGATGATCCTAAGGGAACCTTAAGGTTTCATACAATAGAAATGCATGTCTGAAACTGCCCTCCTTCACAGAGAAACTATCAAATGAAACATCAAACTATCAAGATGTATTCTACCTGTGTTTACTCGCATTCGTTACAACGATATCTATGTTTTTTTTCCAGCAAGACCAATAAACATCATTACTTTACTGGTGTTAACTGTTCAACAATGATATTTCATCAGTGTGTCTCAAAGAGTTGACGTTTGAGTCTAGGTGAGCTTGTCCAGGGGTGCATCGAAATCTCGTACCACTATGATATGAGCGCTGGAACTAGCGTCCGTCACGACCTTTAGGTCACTGACAAGCTTCTCCAACGTGGGTGAGAGCGTACGTTGTCCTCAGCATAACGCTATATGAGGTCTCTAACTCTATGATTGTCGAACGATAAATCTCGGCCACAAACGCGGCCACGATCCGTTCCAGCTTGGTCAGGGCGGTGGACGGAGTAACATCTTTGTGAGCCGAATACTCCGGTTACTCAGATCCTTTGAGTACAGATATATCGACTAAATTGCTATACGAGTATCGCTAATGTAGAGCCGCTGTTGCAGGCTCACTGAATGATCCTTTAGCGTTTTCCACGAGTATGGCTTTGACCTTCCCTCTAAGACCGTGTTCGCGACTAACTGCTATACTTAAAGCTCCGTTTCCTAAACATGGTATGTGTTTTTAGCGTAATCAGGGCCTAGTTCAAGAAGTCTTAGAGATTTCGAAACAAGTCTAAAACCCTTTCCACATCTTCAAACGGTTCCATAAAATAGAACTATGCGGTATAAGCGCAGGAGGCATATCTACACCCAAACCTAGCCATCGGTATATCTGTGGACCTCATGGTCCCTTTCTAGCAAGCGCACTCTATCCCCCTAAAATCTCTAACGCTACAGGCGAGAATTCGTATTCCCGAGAGAGTTTTCATACCTGGAAAGTTTTTTTTTCCACTTTTTTTGCTGATCCCGGGTACGTGCTGCGTGCAAACTTTGGCCTACAAACAGCTGTGTTCCATGCCATTATTCCAAATTAGGGTTCTAAGTGACACGCGCCGCCCCATTTAACCAATACTCCATAACCATTTTCCCGTCACGTTTATATGGATCTGTACGCTCCCAGATTCGCGGGACCTGCGCCGTTACGCGGGAGTGTTGTTCACTTAACCTATAGTATGACTTAATACTTGTCTGCTCTTTTTAAGCCAAATGAACCGTTTTGCCTAAAACGATTCATTTCACAATTTCTGATATGGGGCATTTTGACTCCCAGCCAGAAAAGTATAGAAAAAGCTATTGTTAAGATGTGCTCAGACTCACCGATAAACAATGATGATTACGTTTATATAGTACTCCACTCAGAGGAATAGTTACAAGCTAGCGAAGACGTGTGCGCGTCGTCACAGTTTGTACTAAAGTCTTTCTCTTAGATCCACGTAAACTTCTTCTTATGCACAGTTTTTTTGTCGTTTGATGGACTATGTTGTTTCGAAGGTTGTTATTGTACAATACAGGCTTCTGTTTAACCTGTGCAGATGCCTTCGGGTAGCTTATGCGTAGGACTCTGTTTAGTTACGCTGAGAGGCTACCTTTGATGAACTTCCTTGGTGCAGGATACAAACATGTACAGAAAGAAGGCCGTGGAGTCATACAACAAAAATCTTTGCTCGATTTTGCCCTCCTCTCCCAAAAGTGGATGCAGTCAATATGTTACTCGGCCGCAAATAACAGCTTGTTGATAATATTCTATCTAGAAATTGAATCGTAGGAACATGGCTTACAAGGGATTGCACCAAGCTAGATTAGATAATGCATTATAACCTAATCAGCTGCTGCGGCTTCAAGTATAACAACGCCAATGGACGTTATTGTTGGGTACCTTTTCTCTTTGTGTATTCAGATCACAAGTTGTTTCGATGCTCTCGTTGGTTATAAATCAGCTTACGACAAAAATTACCTGCGCTGTACCCACAAAGAAGAAAAAGTCTATTGGTGTTTAAATCCGACAAATCAGCGGGCTAGCCTTGCCTAAATAGCGGAAGCATTCAAATGTAAAGCTTTATAAACAGGCCTCTTAGGCTACGATCGTAGCCTACGAGACTAACGCTAGCTTGTATTAGATGCTGAATTTCCAAAGCGATAAAGTAGAACAGTACTTTTAATTGGATTCGCGCATAATATCCGCTTGACTGAATAAAATAAGCCCTTCGTTCATACTAGAATTCCCTGTAAACCTATTAGTGTAACACGTGTGCGCTTAGCATCAACGTATTGACAAAGTTCCAGGGTCTGGCTTTTATACAATATCTTAAATGGGACTGTGAAAGTATTGACCATATCAGATTCTTCTTAAGCCGTAACAACATTAACAGATGTAACTTTCCCGATCGACCTAAGTTACGCCACTGGAACTGAATTACTTTTTGGCAGCTAAATACACAATCTTATAAAGCCACTAAGGAACTCTGAATATGAGGCGTCTTTATTTCGTCTCCTTCGTAAGGATACCCAATACAACACTATTCAGGATTTTGCCAAACGTCATCCTACGCACCTTAAACAAAATAACAATCGTCAGCATAATACTTTAATAGAAAATGTTGTATAATTAATTATACTATATATAATTATTCTCACTGAGAAATCATTAGTGAACTTTTGGTCAAGCACGATTTACTTTCAATAACCGGCAACATTTAAATTCATCGTGTATTTCAGTAGTTCAATTTTTCCTTAATAGCTTAAACTGTCGCTAAATAGCTGTAGCTAAATAAAATCGATATTACATCGGTGTTTAATTACTGTCCTACACGTCATTATTCTGCATAGGGCCGAAGTGAAAAATAGGGTATGCTTTGAGAAATCACTGTGGTGGAGCTGGTTTCGGAAACCAATCCTAAACCCTCAGCGCTTTTATGTTTTAAATAATAGGGCCATCACTACCTCGACAGATATGATAAAATCTTTCGAACAAATCCACCCTATGATCGAAGGCTTAATACTCACTTGTTTATTGGGCTCGATGCGACGTGCACTACTGATATCGTGGTGTTCGTTGTGGTCCCGTGCAACGTTTATACAATTTCGTTTGTCTCGTTTACCACCAAGACGCCACCTGCTCTGGCTGAGGCACGTCTTGCGTCAGGTCCTGAATAGAGATCCGGGTGCTAATCAATTGCTCTCATATTGATACTTGAATGATGCCTTAGGTGTTAGGTTAGGTAGCCGAGAGACAAAGAGAGAGAGAGATTGAGGTAGCGAATGGCGCAAGCTTCGCGAAAAACCACGATTTTGACGAGACGAGACGGGCAGAGCCGTTTGAATTCTTCTGTCGTATCCACCTACCTTCTTCCTCTAGAGCATCTGAAGCTTTATTTTTTGTTCGTTCTGAACTTGGTCAATCGATCAAGCCTTGGTCCTACTCTTTTGTTGACTTGTCGGTGTACTGTTGATCGTTGCTGATGTTGTTTTTTTGTGTTACTATGGTTCCTGCCGTTATTGTTGCTCGACGCTAACACAAGTGTCCTCCTCAGTGAAACGGAGCCCGAAATCTGATTAGATCGTTCTGTTCAATGACGATATCGCTGCTGTGAGAACTTTGTTCGTGCAGAAAGAAGACTCGAAAAGATGAAACAAACAACGTACACCTACAGTGTTATATTTGACAAAGCGTATGGTTTTATAGTAGAGGTTGTTCCTGATGTAAGGATCGATTTTGACTGATATCAAACAGCTGAATGAAGGGAATGTATCCTACGGAGCTGTGATTTACCCATTGGTGCGATGCAGCGCTGCGTATGGCTCAGAGTCCGAGTGGCTCGTACTGAGATGGCTTCGCTTAAACAACAAGCCCACTTCGAATGTTCGTTTGGTTCGTTACATGGTTAGTAGCTTGTCTTTCTTAATTAGTTCAATGCTATTAGCATTGAACTAATTAAGTTCGTCTTAAGTTACTGTAGCGGACTTTGCCGCAGACCTTGTTTGTTGTTTTTGTCCTTCTTCTAGCCAGCACTAATTTCTGGCAACGATAGTAAAATAACGCCTGCCATCGATGCGAAGAAGGTAATTCAAAAGAAACGTTTTTATATTTCGTTGTCAGTTTACCCCGTGGGTACCGCTTGATGTGGTGGGTAGCAAAGCTCGTTTGTATCGCGCGCGCGCGCGCGCGTCTGCAATGGGTTCGCCAAAGGGTACAAAATACTTGGACCTAATGTGACGTCTTAGTGTTATGTAAATAGTCGAATATAGGTGAAGGCAACGAAATGCGACATAACTGCTGCAACGTCCGGTATAGGCCAGCGTTTTGTTTACCCTGTGATCGACAGCCACGAACAAATTATTCGTTGACGAGCTATTGACCACTATCGACTATCGGCGCCAATCCCTTTTCGTGCAGGTACTGGACGTATAGCTTTCAGGCGACAAAAATCACTTGACAGACGCTTAGACACTCCACAGTCAACGGGCTCGCCAATTCATTTTCAAGCGTCTCGAGTCCTACTTGCTTATAACTATCAACTTAGTTGTATTAAATTGGCCTAGCGTACTGGCGAAGCACTGGGCGCTGGGTTCGCTGTATGGAAGGCACACCTTTTAGATGTGGGCTTACTATGATCCTACTGAGCTACCTTCAGCGCAGTGGCTAAGAATATCGCGATTATTTTTTGGCTGAGCGCTATCGTGTCCATACGCAGCTGGCTGCAACGTTACTGGCTACAGGGTAGTTGCAATACGGTAGCATTAGCGGCTTTGCTGATGATCATGCGGCGAAAATGGCGGCAAAATGTTTCATTTTTGGCGGTTGTTCGCACATCGTCACCCTTTTTACCCGAACGGCTGCTGCTAACTATGAAATCGTCGGGCTGATCGAATACGACTCTGTTATGTTTTCGTTTCGTGTCACTATCTAATGAAGGTGAAGAGAGGATTGTGCGGTGGCGTGTGATTATCTATCGTACTGGGCATCAAAAAAGAAGATCTCTGTCGTGCGTTATTGGGCCTGTTGTTTCGTACTCGTAGTTATCGTTGTCCTCTGCTCAGCTCGGTTGCTACAGCCGTATAACGCTGAAATAAGTCGATTACATTGGCGTCCAGATAAAACTAAGCTGAAATAGTTGTATTTGAACTTGTCATTTCTGTAGATTAGTAATGATAGATTCGCTGACGATACATAATCTGCGTAAACCAGATAATCTGGTTCCGCTTGTTGTCTTGCGGAGGTTGCTTGATAAACCAATTTACAGCGGAGTGGCAACAAATGCTAATGCTGAATCTAAATTATATGAAAGCGTTTTCACTGATACGCACCACGTCGCCGGCCGAGGGACTTTTCTGCACCGAGCATCACAGGTGTGGGTACAGCCGCGATCGACGCTAGTAATGAGTTTGGCCAGTGCAGATTCTCTATACACGAACTGATACGATGCTATACAAGAGTTAAACAAGCAGGCAGGTATATGAAATCATGAAGATTCAACTGGAGAACGGTGTTGCTTTTCACTACGATAATTCGATAGACGAATTTAAGCGGAACGCACATTAAATAACATAGCGTTTGATGTAAAAGTTGTTTTAGCAGTTGCTGATGTTGTCAACGCTTTTAAATTAATTGAAACTGCTAATTCATCGAGTAAATGCGGGCTATGCCTGATGCACGAAGCCGGCATTATCTGAAATGTCTGAAAGATTTGATATCTGAAAACTGCACGCACGCACGCACGCACGCACGCACGCATGCACTGGCTAGTTCCAAAGTCAGCTGATTAACACAACACACTGGACTATGCTATTGTCGTTATCGTTGCTCTTTTGAGTTGAACAGCGATGTTTTCTTCATTGGTCGCAAGTATCCACCCCGTTTAGGCTGCCACCGCTTGTTATCATTATAAAATCGTTCTATTTATCAACAGTGTTGTCATCGACACTCAAACTGTTGTGGCTGCCGTTGTGTCTAATCAGAACTCGCTCCGAGCTGTCTGAACCGATCGGGCCATTCTCAGGATGACTAACCAAAATGAACTGATCGACCGCAGAACATCGCCGCCATACCAATTGACGGAACGGCGCTGTTGGCGCCTCCCGCAACGAAACCAATGCTGTTAACAGAACCGTTGCCTGCGGGCGACATAATCTCGAGTGGCTGCGCAGCATCGCCACACAGAATGCTGCTGTCCGCGGGACAGCAGCTGTTATGGGCCACCTCAACTACTACAGACTGCACCTATGACGATGGAGGAAGGAAAAAGGATGTTGCTATTTCCCTTAGCTCTTATTCCCGCTGATGCTCAATAGATGGGAGAGAGACGGTGTGCGACGCGCATCGCGCACGTAGCACAAAGCCACGATGGTGGAAGCACCCTGGAGCACCGGCTCGCCGGAGCCGCCAGTACTGGAACGAAGGAGCTTAAAGGAGAAGCAGCAAGCGACTCTAGGCAATAGCTGTTTGTTCTTTCACAGGAAACTGCTACTACTATTCGTCGTCGACAGCGACTGTGCGCTTTCCGGCGTTTTTCTTGCTTGCTTCCTTCCCCCACGCCGACTGCCCCTCACCCCTTAACCAAAAACCCCTCCCTCTTTCCTCTGGTTCATGACGACGGAGCGCTGGTTGAATAGGCGAAATGATATTGCTGGTGGTTGCGGCACTGGTGGCCATAGGAGCAGCAGGGTTGGCCTTTGGAGCGGCGGCGGTTCTGACAGCAACTTTGGAGGCTGTCCGCTTGGGTCTCGGGTCGGGAGCGACATCGTGACCGGTTTGCATTTCCTTTCAGTCATTACATTTTCTGGTTTTCAGGGCCATCTCCTCCCTGTCGTAGTCAGTGCCACCATTATTCATTCACGGACGGCAATAGGCAGCAGTTTGATTGGTTCTGCCGACTACTCCAACGCCATCACGAGCGTTTCCTCCTACTGTTCTAATGCAACTCGAACCCCCCTGTTGACCCATAGTTTCACCCCTTTCTCTCCTTGTCCCATAGGCTCACTAAAGGCATCGAAAGAGGCTCTGTACTCCTGAGAATTTTTCTCGCACGCAGCGCCACATCTCTGGCAACGACCTCTCCAGCAGAGTCGACTGTGTGTAGACACGACAGTCTACGGCCCTCTCCCCACGGATTTTGTGGCAGCAGCAGGAGTGTTTGCGAATGGGAAAGAGAATGCAAGCAGTCAAGTTCTACGCTCAAGGTTCTAAACGTTCTAGCGAGCTTAGCTTTGGTCCCAACACGTATAAACTAGTATTTGGTCATCAATCAAGCTTCGAGCAGACAGGCACGCTCAAGCACACCAAGCATAGAATCCCCAAATGCAAGCCCTACTCATGTTCGGCACTATCGACTGATTTTGGTCGCTTACGAATGCGTCACGACAACCCCACACGACCACGGCAGCTTTGCCAGAAACAGGCCTGAATCCGAAGGGATGTAACATCTACACAGGACACCCATGGAACAGACAAATAGGAGAGGTTTTGCGCAGGCGCAACATGGCGCGATTTCTTTCCGCCTCTTCCGGTTCACCACCATCTGACCATGCTGCAGGCATGGCCTGGCGAATCTCAACCCAACAACACCCTACATCTTCGGGATTACTGCAAGTTCCTTTTTCAACATGGAGAAGGTGTAAGAGATCCGAGGGCCCGAATCGTTAAACAATGATCACACAAGTTAACAGCCAACTGCATTGGTAGCAAACGACCAATTGGCAATCCCTGTGTGTCAAGTATGATTCTATTAACACACCTTGAGCAACAATGCCAACCGTAATAACAGAACAGCAAAAAAATGTCTACATCCGGCTCTACTTCTCTCAAGTATGACTTGAGAAAGCTGGCACCTCTTTCCAGCCAGAAACAGATCGTATGTCTACACTCAGGGACAATTTAGCGCATTGTAGTTTAATAAATACGTTACTGCTACACAATTACACAGAAAATAATGGTACACGAGATGGACACGTATGACAAATGCTGAGATTGTAGCCGATAAACTACAGCAGGCCGAGTTTGTCAGTTGAGTTAAAAGTAAAAGAAGAGAGCTCACACTGAGGCGAATTATCTAGCAAGGATTATTGTTTATATTATATTGTTACAATTGTCTAATCGCTGAGGTAAACCTTAGTTCTAACTAGAGACTGTGGAATATTCAAAATACACACTTATCATGACCTTAGAATACAGGGGGACTACATAGTTGCAAGCTGTAGCTTACGCAAATCGGTTGAACGCTCCCACTATTCAGTAAATAATGTTTTTTTTTTTTCTAAATAACAACCTAAAAGGGAAAATGTATGTAAAATAAAATGCCTAATAAAGATTTCTTATAGAATTGTTTTTAAATTCAAGTCCAGGATTATTAAGAGGTTTCACCATTAAGAGGTTTTCAAGTAACGGATGCTATATTGGGACACTGTTCATATCAAAGTGAGCTAAAAGCTCGATTAGAGATTAGAGCGCTTTTAATTGGTTTTGTGTTTGAGTTTGTTTCAAGGTATAATTAAATGCACTTTCTCAGTTAGTTTTTGTTTTACATTGAGCAAAACCACGGGGAGCTAGCGATAAAGGACAGGATTCGTAAGATATGACTCTCCTTATCTGTGTAAGTGTTTATTCATCGAACTATTCACAACACAGTATTTAACTTGCATCTATTTCGTCTACGGTGCGTCTTTTCGTATTGTCCTCATACAGCGATTAACTGGACTGTGAAAAGTCAGTGTCATAAGTGGTAAACTCCTGGGCAAGCCTATTTAAGCAAACGTACCCGTCAGTTATCTAACCGTAAAAATTGACTGCATAGTTTCTCAGTAGACTTCACCTGACGTAGCTGTAAACGGGAAAAGACTTTTCCGACGACCGATTTCTTCAGACGGTGTCGCCCTCACCGAAGCATCGTCGAAGTTTCACGCGGATGAGGATATTAAGCCAGTTCCACGGGGGCGCCACCAGTTTTAGTCAGCCGAGACGTAAGAACGATTTCAGCACGATGTTGCTGATTTTAATTTTATATTTGTCACTGTCAGATAGCGACGTACTGTATGTACGGCTAGTTATAAGCGAAAGCTTTCAGGCTAAGAAAAATGTCCTCTTTTCCAATATGTCTAAGTTAGACGATATGTTACCATTCTTATGCCGCTAGTCAAAGAGCTACGCAGGCGTCGTCGTTCGAAGCTTGATATTATAAACAAGTTTACCTGGAACGAAGTTTTTATTTACTATTAGCGAGTAGATTAATATTGTACGACGAACACAGTATACTTAGGTAATTTCCAAGATTCCATACTATCGCATTGTCTAAAAATCCGCAGTAGGGGCTAATGATGAACTGAAGAGAAGTCTTCGAGGATCTCCGCAAATCAAACGGTATTTAGTTCATGGCTACGCAGTATTTTTTATTATAATATTAACATGTTTGCTTCAATCAGATGATAATTATAGTAACATTAGTTCATAGGTTTTTTTTTATTGGCCTGATCAATGGAACTGTCGATTAGTTTGCTTTATCTAAATGCATAGCTAGTTGTCCGTAGGTTGTATATTATAATTCAAAGCTCGACCCTGTATCGTAGATAATAACATGAATAGATATAGAACAGGAAGACTGAACGCGTAAGGGAGCGAAATCACAATCTGGTGAAGAACTCTCAAAGAAAAATTGCAAAAAATATAATACAATCAGGCATCGAGACCATTTTAAAAAATTTACTAAAAGTAGGAAAAAAAGATCCTCTTTTCAAGCTTAGTTAGTTACTAAAACACTACCCTGGCTATTTCAAAAATAATGTCTGTTGTCTGATATTGGTCAGATCCAACACGCAACTGGTACGGTCTAACAAGCTGCCAAATTCATATCGATCGCTGGAAGAAAAAAAAGATATTTAACTTGCACAAAAACATCCTTGCACACAAACTTATGCGACTTCTGTGAGTACGGCCAATGCCAATGTACAGATCGACATAATTGCAAGACATAACTTTTGTAATAACAATCGTTTTTTCTAGCGAATCACACATCAAACATTATGCACTCAACAGACTATATATGGTCGTAGGCTTCTGTTCAACCAGATAAGATAGAGGCGATAGGAGACGATGCCTCCTAAAGCCTTACTACTATGCAACAAATTAATTCCTAAGAGATCCGCTGCCAGAATTCCTACCCTCACCTCTGTCGTATTAGGCCTCATGAACCGCTTTCACCAAAAACAGCCAGCGTGGACCGCTTTGCCGCCCACAGACTTGCCGTCTTTAACCTATGCGACGGCAACGAAACGTATGCTAAATTTTACTTGTGACGCCGTCGCTAGACATAAAATGAAACTTACATTAACAATTTTTACGAAAATCTTTTTTTTTTTTTCACGAAACTTCGAACTTTGAACGTAACAACCTGAAACGTGTTTAAATGTCCACGTGTCATCCATCATGATTTGCACGCCGTTGATTTATGCTACATTTATGGTGGCCTCTATTTATGGCACTATTGTTATTTGCACTATTGCCGTTCATTAAAATTAGATGTATCTCCTCATAGGAGTATGGTAAAAAAAAAAAAACTAATAACGTTTCACGTGTTTCGCTCCGAATCTACATATGATATATATTTCAATAATCCCTTGAATCTATCTCAGACAATCGAGAGCACTATAACAAACTCAGTTCTAACATCGGAATCAGCACGAAACTATGGAACATACCTTTTCGTTGGCAAAAGACAAAGTGGACAAGCACGTTCTAAGGATGGCATTCGCCTGCTGAAGTGACCTCTATTTGGCCTCCGGTTATAATCACCGCTACGGTCTGCCTGACCCTATCCGGAATAGCAATTAAAGCATTATTCGTTTAACTAAAAACACCTTATGATCTTTAGTAACGTTTCTTTAGTAAAGTTATTTTTCTTTAGATAACGACGCAAGAGAGTTTCGCGTATTTGTTGGCAGACATCTGGCAATTTGGCCTTTCATAGGTGGTACCACGCAGACACAAAACTACAGCTATAAAAATCGGTCCCCCATTCCTCCTTACACCGGCCTGGACCGCTGACGGCCGGCTGGTCGCTAACAGGAACGACTACTACGTTCCCTATACACAGGACTTATTATTTAGTGTGCGAGACGTAGGTACATCATGGAATAAATAAGAGCCGCTATTATGGATCCTGTAAAATTAAGTTCAGTAAATTTCCATAGAACGAATCGAACCAGCCTTCAAACTCAAACTTCTAATTTTTGGAAATAACTAAACATTTCTCAAACGGTAGCATTATGGTCATATGTATTTATATTTTTTTGCAACAGTTACCCGTATAGTGTGAAACAAATACGGCAGAATGATTTTTCATCAACAAAATGGCCACCCGACCAAAAACTCTTCCGTCATCCGTAGGTCGATATCAACTTGAACGTATAAACGATTTTTAAATTTATAATACCTGATATATAATAATGGATGGAAGACAATCAGCAGTCGACTTCCGTCAAATGCTTCCTAAACCACCCGCTCCGTTGCTTCTATAACGTAAGAGAGCCACAAGGTTAGCGTCGCAAATGGTCACCTTTCCGCCTGGGATTTTTTGTGCTCTGTAAATTCAGCCACTGTTCGCAAGCATATAGGTAGGTACGTTAGCGCTAGGAAGTGTTAGATAGGCTGCTGCCGAGAAGTCACGTAACTAGACTTGTCCGTGACAGGACTCACAGCCCGCACGACGAGCGTCCTTCGTCGATGACAAAAACGTATTTCTTATACCCTCCATAGGCTACGTTATGTCGAGGCATGGAATCGCTTATGCATATTTGATAGCAAAAAATTTCAGCTACGTTTCAACGAAACGAAGAACTGCGATAATATGCTTCCTACAACGGAATAGGCTTGGATTTATTTTCATTGTAATAGGAATTGTTTTCACAGTATATCAGTAATGTTATATAAACAATCGCATGCAGAAGTTGCATTGGGGGAACTCTCATAGACGCGCTGATTTAGCTTTCGCCTAATCTAAACATTATGTTTATCATTACTATTATTTGCGGGTTTCTATTCTTTCAAATGAGGTTCATTGGGATTGTGCCGATTGTCGCAAGGGCAGTTAGCGCAGATCAAACTCAATTGTGTAATTAGCTTTCTAACCGTACTTTTGAAAGAGCTGAAGCTCAGAAAGTTTCTACAGAATGTTAGGTGAAATGTTTCATGTAGAAAAATAAAACATATTTTTAATTCTATGTCATTTCTTAATTTTTAAAATTGGCTCTACAATTTTATCGTAACATATAGTTATAACTTACATATATATATGTATATATATAACTTACAAGTACACTTGGAAGATGCTACAATATTAGAAAATTTGACTGCGCCATTTCAAAGTTTACCACATAGTAACGAGCAGAATATCTAAGCTGTGGCTAACTTTGTATTTTAAGTATATACTATAAAAGCTGTATGAAACGTTTTGTGCCAAAGTTGCTATTCTTATCTTTACTTTTATTAAGCCAAGCGGCACTGGAAAGCCATGTTAATTCAGCGAAACTAAAATACGACTGGCGAAGACAAAAGTTGGCCTAGAGACGTTCCGTAAGATTCAAGCATAGGGTTAGAAAAAAAAACCGCTTAGAAAACAGGCGCTAGCACAATTAAACTAGTTGGTGTATTTCAGAAATGTCTCTCTGCGTCTTTTGTCCAACCGCTCGTCTTAACCTCATCATCTGGCCTATTCTTTACTTCAAACTTTCTTTCTATCTTTACTTTCCCTTTACCTCTTAAATTTGTTTTGTTGGTCCCCCTAAGTGCGTTGTCATAATTATCTTTCCCGATTTACCACTCTCCGCCATATCAACACCTCCGAAATCTGCTCCGTGACCGCCATCAAAACCACCTCTAGAATCCCCGCCTTCAGCGCCTCCTTCCACGACGAAGATTATTGCCTTGCCATCTCCACCGGATCCTTCATGGCCGCCGCTTCAGTGCGCGAGATTACCGGTCCATTGGCGTGTGGGGTAGTGATGTTGTGCACCAACTTAATTACCTGCGTCCGTCCCGAAATTGTGTACGCGACACCGCCTCTGCTACCAATCAAATAACCATGGCTGGCTCCATTGCCCAGAAGTTGCGCAAATACGACAGCCGATAATGCTGTTTCGTTCTCACTGGTACTATCGTCTTCGTGACCACATTTGAAGCTTCCGCCATTGCCACCTCCAAAGCCACCGCTGTAGTTGTCTTTGTGGCCAATTCCGAAACCACCACCGAAACCTCCAAAGTGTGAGCCCCCAGTGAAACCTCCACCGTAGCCACTTCCCAATCCGTTAACGTCGCTATGTCCTCCATCGAATCCACCTACGCCTGCGTCAAAGAAGCCTCAATTAACCACTCGTACAAGAACTGCTGATACCATTAAATAAAAGCGGAATGATCTCATCTTACGCAAGCTAATCAGCGCTAGAGAGCGGATTCTAATAACGATCTACGCAACTGCTTTGATGTGTTTCTGCCAGCGTTGAGCAAGGACGTTCAATTCTATCGCGAGACTTGAGCCTTTAAGCTATTCTATGGCATCTAACCGTCGAAACCTCGATGCAGCGTCAAAACTGAGCTAGCTACTTCATCCTTTAAAACGAATTTTGTTTTTGTAGGGATGATCGGCTTCTTCGGATCAGCGGTGGCAGAAAATGGCGAAAAAATTAAAGACTGGAAAGAAGCCAACAACTGCAGCTATTTATGCATCCACTATGCTACATACAGGCATAATGGATCGAAGCGTATAGAACAGAAGCTAGAATCCCGAGTCTCTCGAGGTCTACAACCCGCCAGCGGTATTTCTAGGGATCAGATCCTTTATCCCTCACATATGCTGTGCGACGATGGCTGCATAGTGAGGCTGCCGTCTATGATTTAAACATCATCGCAGGAATCGTTGACAATGAAGTAACAAGGCGTTTGATGGCTTCTTGCTCTGTCGCTCCGTCTTTGCGCTCTTCATCCTATTTCTAGCTACGTGCTAGCCGGATTTATGAGTGGTAACAGTCCGCATGTAAATGATACAAGGCTACAACATTGGAGGCAATAGAAACTACAGTGACGTAACGGTGGCTTAATACGTCAGTGGCAGCCGTGACATCGGACTGTGTCGAGCTGCACTCATGTGTTTCGTGTGCGTTCGACATGTGTTCGAGCCTGTCGTCAAGTGCGGCTAAGATGTGATGCAGAATGTGAAACAACGAGGTCGTTATGCCGCCCTATGTGGACAACCATAGTTAGAAGCCAGTTCATCATTGCCGAATCACAAGATTACCTCATACCAGATTTAAGTTTGTTACATAAAATTCACAGAAGGTGCACAACGACAGCAATCGAAAACAAAGAAATTAATCTGATCTAGTTTTTATTGTTTACGCCATCGCGGGAATCAGCGCGACAGAAGCATACGTACAATCCATTGACAGATAAAATTAACGATATTTGCTGACGGTTTGAAATATTTAAATAACATGGTCTTATCCCTAAAGGCAGCGATCGTCGTTCAAGTCGTATACTGACGCGGACGGCTTTAACTACGAACGATAAGTGAAGCAAATACGACAACGGCCCATCGGCGCCACTCAGCGCAACCACTCAAGATTATGCATAAGGAATATCATGTCGTCCCTAGGTTACGGTGCACTTGCAGTCAGTCACTGCTGAGCAGTTCGACCATTGCTCAAACGGATCGTATTAAAGGTGGTCGAAAAGCAACGGATGAATGTAGTAGTATTATACTTGCCTCCGTCCCGTAAAGCCTCGATGTTTGTCCTGTCTATGTTTCACCCTTCTTCTGCTGGTCGCTCTTTGATTGATCACGGTTATCGCCGCAGTCTTATCAAGCAAGTGGCCTGCTCAGTTGATAGGCCACCTAAATGGGCGTATGCAGATTTGGTCAGGACTCTCAAAACAGCAGTGGCGGAAGTAATACGGACGAAAGCAGGATACCGAAAACAATGAGGTGTGCAGCAAACAGGCAGATCGAGAGGGCCAACCGGCCCAAGGTCAGGCTGAATAGGAGCTGTTAGCTGGCCCAGTGGCACACTCAGTCGAATACAGCAAGCACTGGGCATCACTGGTCGGGCACCAGCTCACCCGAACGCGTGTCAGTACGCAGCAGAAAACGTCCTGTCTTCTTTTAGAGCACTTGGGTAGGCGGACAGGAAAAAGCAGCAGGGGGAACCGAGATGATGCCAAATTTTGGCCAAGGTGAAATTGATCGAAAGCCATCGTAGATCCCTGTCTTCTTGCTTTCGAAGCAGCGAACGTTAACCGATCAGGACCTTGCCTGGGTCAGTGCTTATATTGACCAATACCAGGCGGCTACCGGCACGCACACTCCTAACCTAACAACCACCCTGAGACGGCAGCACTCCACCGGCCGCAAACTCATCGTTTGCATAACGGATAGGAAAACAATACTGGAGGGCTTCGATCTTTTAGTAGTGGCACAATGGAAAACCAGCTCTCGTTCGTTTTGTCTCTACGACTGTACCATAACTTCCTAGAAATGGAAGGGAACACTCAAGTGTTTCTTACGCCTAAATGCATATATTTTTATGTGTCTGAAGGCAACAGGTTTATGTATCCTGAGAGTCTATTGATTAATAAAAGAAAAGATCGGCTTGAAAAGTTCGTAGGTCTAGTAAGCAGTTAAAGGAATCTTAATACGATTACAAGATATTTTACAATTAAATGCGGATTCTTATAGCATATTAAACGGTGTAATAATAATAAGGAGCTAAACTCGCCGAGGGATTGAAATCGCGCAAACAGAAATCGTTGAGTAATTGAAAAAGTAACTTGAAAGTTAACATGGTTAGCAAATGTGGTTTCATTTATATAGCATTAAAAAAATGAAAGCTTACGCTTTGCCATACCTTCATAATTTGTTGATGAGATGGAGAAATTCAACACAAATAATGAAACCGGCATTTAACTTCCCAAGTAGAAATCTAATAATATTATATTAATATACAACCTGATCCAAATGACCGCTTTATTGTGGAATCCCAAATTACTGATTTACAAAATACTTCCAAAGTTCCGATTCAGCTTTATGGATTAACGAATTTCTTGGAAATAGTAGCAGAACTTAAATATATAGTCAATTTTAAAATGAACAGCACATATGAGTTCATTTTTAATGAACTTGAACCTGAGCCACGAAAGCACATCCCGGTCGAAAAGCAAAAGGTTTATATAAATCTTTGATCAGATGGTCCACGGGGTTTCGGGAAACCGCCAAAGTAGCATGAGATGTCATTTCGGCAAGCCGACGCTGGCAGCAGGCCAAAAGTTATGGATGATCTCCTGCCTCGTTTCCTCCTGTGAGAGAGCACACGGATAACAGTATACCAGTATAGGCATTATGGCACAGGTAGAACCGATAAATACACCGCACTATTGACGATTGGTTGGCGTAGTCTGATGGAACCCAATAGGATACTGTATGTCCACATCCATGAGAATTAAGCACGGGTTCTAGTCGCTAATACCTCGCAGAACCTGTTCTTCGGTAATTGTCGTGAGAGCAAGATAAGGCCCTGCGACTCAGCGATTTTAGCCTGTAATTTCAAAACTGGCTGTTGTATATAGGGCTACGTAAAGTACAACTAAATGAACCTTGCTAATCTATCAAATTAAGCTTTTTTTTTTATTAGCTCTCATGGGTGCTTATCTGATCGATGGCCTGCTTGCGTACGTCGGACTTGAGATGCCTAAAAAATAAAAAACAAACATGTCTCATAAAGTAATACGTAGAATTTTAGTTAACCGGGCATTAGTAATAAATCTAGCCATATCCCGTTAGCGCATTGTATTACTTAATCGAAACTAAGTTACTTTTCGAACGGCCGACTTGGAAATGCGAACTTGGACCTACAAAGCTCCGTGCAGTTACCGGTGCCCGAGTGTTATCAACATATCAGCTAATTAACTTGAGTCCGTGATCTACGTAGCGGCCCGATCTCACACTTATCTTTCACTTATATAAAATAATATTCTTGTAGGTTGCAAAGCCTATTAAACTTCTAGTATATAATATGATGTGAATTCTAAGATGGCTGTATTCTATGGCCCCATCAGCTATGTAACAATGCCCAGAATAGTTTAAAAAAAATTACCGACACTTCTACTCAAGACCTGTGTGGTTTTATTATTGTGTGTGTGTGTGTGTGTGTCTGCATTTTTTGTTACATAGAGAGATAGTTATGATTTATCAAAATGTCCAATCTAAATAATAATTTGTCCATATTATCTTTCTAATCGTTACTTTCTAGATGTTTTTCTTTGTGTCATCAAATGCCGACCCTTAGCACCTCAGACGGCACTTGCCGTCGTAAATAACTAAATTTCGTCATTTAATTATAAATATCAGTCAAATTATTAAATTGTTTTGCTTATAATATTGCCATTCATCCGGAACGCCGCTTATTAATCAGCCGCAGATGTCCACTAGCCGTCGTCGATTAGCTGCCGACGCGTGACATGCGTTGAAACGATGCTCGGACTCACTCTTTTCCTCATCCTTTCCTTTATAATAACTATATATTGTGGGGAACTAGCATTAAAACGAGGTAATGATCTACTGGCCTCAAAACACATGGGAGCCACCCGATGATGACACTGAAAGTATACTCAGTTAATTCGCAGCAAGTAATAGTCACTTATTACAAAAAAAATCAGCCCAAATTAATACTAACTACCAAGGTCATTTAATGTCTTATCGATAGATTAGGCTGACTAATGCGATACGGAAAAAAAAATTGGTTTTTTTCCAACAATGTCCATGTATGGAAGGACGTGTGGGAGCAGGTTCAACGTTGAGTGAATAATATAACGAAGTTCCTTATGCCAACAAGGCCATGGCTAACTATATAATTGGCCTTTAGCAGCGTCCTAGTATTCTGCGTATATTTACGCTGACTTTAAAAAAATCCGGAAGAGTCATCTATAAGGCAAACCTGAAGATCATCGATCGGGTTTACATAGGAAGAACTCAAAGTTTAATCAGATCGGCTCAAAAAGTCGTTTTTGATACACAATCTAACCGCCATTTTAAGAACGAGCATATCAACTGCTAATTAGGACGTTTAGATAAGCTTCAACTGTTAGTCTTTTTCAAGCTTTTTGCAACCTTTGTACCCACTTACCGTTCTGAGTCTTTGCATTTTGAGACCTTTGGCCTGCTATTAGCTCAAAATTCTACCCTTGAACTAATACGGCGCTTTCTGGACCTACTCTGAAAGGGCCGTATACAACAATAGGTATCCATAAGACAGTTGGAAGCAACGTATCTACTCCCAAATAAATACTGAAGAATATCCTTTTTCTTTTGTTTTGTGACTTTGATATGACGAGGTCACCGTATTTGATGACTGTTGCTAACCAGCTTCTCGGGCTTTGACTCTATTCATAGAGTGCAACGTTCTGCGCGTCAAACACACGGACGCGAGGGGAGCGAAAGAGGGGTGCTGTCCGTTCGCTCCCTTACATCAGACGGTCCGAGACTCACTAGGCGAGGCTGGATAGAACGGAATCAGTCTGCGAAATAGTGGAATGCTCAAAGTAGAATAGTGGGAAGTCTAGAAGAAGAATAGCCATATAGATCACTTTTAACTTTAAGGCTTACGATATCTTCCTCTCCGTGCAGAGGTTTTTCGTTTCCTGTATAGACTCCCTGTATGTTTGCCGCTTCGGTATTAATGCCTGTTGATCAAAACCTTTAGTCATAATATTTGTATACTTTTTCATTCATCATTTGGTGGCTCGTGATATGAGCTTTGGCGAAGAGGCAACGAAGAGATAGCACGAGAAGGTTTATACAAAGGACCACCAATGGAAAGCTGCCGTACAGACAACTGTCACTTAACTCAACGATGATTTCAGGGCCTGTGACAAGCAGGAGGTGTGGGTAACGCCAGCGCGAACTCTTTCGAGGTGCCGCGTTGTACGTCTGTCAAGATCAGCAGAATTACCATAAGGGGCAAGGGCGTCAGCGAAATCAGCGAACTCTAAATGACCACAGTTTTTCTACACCAGTTATAAGTCTGGGAACGGTGTAACCATGTAATAGATAACGACGGCGACGGCCGGTCAGGTGGGTACGTGTCATGATTGCTGCCAGCTAACTAAACGGCGACGAGGTGCGATTTGGGCGGGTGAAGCTATTAAGAGGGTCTCCGCGCAGAGTTAAATGCCTCTTGCAGTTTTTTTTTCATACAGTTGATTCAGCCCCATTCTATTTGCTTCTGTCGTCTGCAGGAGAGAGAAACTCTCGCCCAATTTTTGCAGGACCCCACTCTCTGGCTGGGCACTACTGATAAAAGTGAGAGCGATTAATATGGGAGGTAGGGTCGGTGACATCTTATAAAGAATTGAGCGGAAAATCGATCAACGGACAAGTGGGCCACAGCGGATAACTATTGCAGCTATCTCCACTATCACCTACTCGTTGCCATACGTTTGCGTAGTACCCTTTTCAGTGGTTTATATGATGGTCTGCCCCGCAGATTTGACAAATTAGTATTTATGCGTGGAAAGAATCACTGTTCATGTTGAAGGTCTGTGAGTTTGCTGCTGTTGACGTGAGATTTAATGAGTCTCGACTGCGTGAATGGCTGTCAGTACTCGCGTGTGTTCACAGCGTCGAACGTAAAAACTAAAGGTACCTGTATTTTGATGGTATTTACACAAGACGATACACGTATACATCATAAAGACTTGCACAGTTTGCTTAGTCTTATTGTATCTACTCACAAGAAACACATCATACATGGCAAGAACCTGCTTCATGCGAACGTAAATCATTAGAAACCTATCGGAAACTGACATTATTATAAAAGTTAAAAAGTATTTATAATAAACGAGCCGTTTAATAAGAGTACTACAGAACCGTGTCTGGAAATGTAGTCTTCATGCTGATACGCTGCGCACAGTGGAGCTCAGACGTATTTCGCCTTCGTATTCCAGATACAGGTAGCAGTGGCCGAAGGCCGCCAGGGGTCCCTCTTGGGCTTTGAAGGGGTCTAGGACAGCCCGGCATAGGCTGCTCAACGCACGCAAACCACAATACGTCGTAAAAAAAACTATTTGCTGAGAAGATTGCGTAAATGACGACGTCTATATCACTACTACATCAGCACTATACACAGCTAGATATCAAGCTTCAGTAATGTGCTCATGCCAGCAATCTGCACTTCGGAGAATTCGTATGGAGAAGGGTTTGCCGGGGGCAAACTATAGAAGCGTTCGTGTCGCCAAAGATCTCACGGCTATGTTTGCTACCCTTGCTTCGGTAGCCGCTACGCGTTGAACTGCTTCTAGGTGAAGGGCGTTAACAGCTATCTCACATCGTTTGTTTTTCATCATTTCTCTCCAGCAGAAGCAGTCAGGATTGCCTTCTTTTGCTGTTCTCGCACCTTCTCAATCTATGTTAGAAACCGTCATGACGGCTACGGGAAGCCAGTGGCAAACGCTAACGGACCTCGGTCTAGCCAGCTTGGCCGATATAGATGCGTCAGTAAAACTGCAGGCCAGCCAAAGAAGCACCAAGAAGCGGAGATTTCGACTAGCATAAACTGTTCAAGGTCATGTTTTATTCTGGCTGTTCAACCTTAACTGCTAATTAAAAGATTACGAAAAAACACAGCGTACTGGCCACCAGCTAGTCGAGCACTGTGGTTCTTGAAAAAGGAAGTAGCTATATGGTTAACTATACAGCAGATACAAGCGACCGCTCGTTTGTCAGTCTAATCTAGAGCAAGTATGAATAGTCTCAGTAAAGGAAACAATTCAATAGTCAATGGTATACGCTTTACATACGTATGGCAAGGCTTAAATAAGGTCCAGTACATGTACCCATACATACGAGACATCACAATAAACAAAACGCATTGGAGAAGCCCTGGCTTCTTTTATACGTTACTGCATCACATAATTGGTTTTTTTTTTTACATATGGGAAATGTTATCGTACATTTCAGCAGCTGATTCGCGGCTGCTAATAGCCAGTTTTCTCCTAGTGGAACCAAGTTTCCCCGATACAGCTAAGGTACGCGTATAAAGGCCGAAAGAGGAAATCAGCTAGATTCGATAATTTCTAGATTTGCCTCTAATGAATACATTTAATTTTTTAATAATTTTAGTAATAAAACTCACAATCGCTTAGGACAGTCCGTCATATTATCAGGGTGTTCGAAGTTGTCTGGGCGTTGAAACGGAGGATCACAACCGAGAACTTCGTCAGATTATAATATATATAGGCATAGGTTATGACAAATACTGTATACTATAGGACTTTCAGTTCTGCGTACTAAAATGGCAACGAATGAAACTTTTTAAGGGCGTGGGTAATTGATAATCATTAGAGAAACTGATGCGCATGCAGATCAAGATCTGCGTGCCATATGAGAGAGGCAGTTCTCAAAAACACAGAGGGAATTCTGTCCGTAGTTTTACTGAAAGAGCGAGAGTAGCAGTGATCAGCCGAAAGCTGGCTGAATGAAGAAGAATGAAGCTCACATGTTGGTCTTGACAGATACTCGTCTAATGTGATTGTGCGCTCT